AGACGTGTCATACATAATAACCTAATAAAAGTAAATGTAACAACTACTACAGTGCAACAAAACAGGAATATTAAATGTGGTCTCTTAAACATAAGATCTCTAGCATCTAAAGCAATATTGGTAAATGATTTAATATCAGATTATAATATTGATATATGCTGTCTCACTGAAACTTGGTTGAGACATGAAGAATATGTCAGCATAAATGAGGCCACTCCACCCAGCCATATCAATACTCATATTGCCCGAGGCACGGGCCGAGGAGGTGGAGTTGCAGCAATCTTTGACTCAAGTTTACTTATCAATACTAAACCAAAATTAAATTATACCTCCTTTGAAAGTCTCGTTTTTAGTCTTACGCATCCGACCTGGAAAACTTTGGAGCCAATCTTATTTGTTACAGTGTACCGTGCACCAGGTCCTTATTCAGAATTCTTATCTGAATTCTCTGAGTTTTTATCAACTTTGGTTCTTAAAACAGATAAAGTAATTATCGTAGGTGACTTTAATATTCATGTTGACGACGATAAAAATAGCCTTACTGTTGCATTTAACTCTATATTAGATTCTGTTGGTTTTTGTCAGTGTAAATAAACCAACCCACTGCTATAATCACACTCTCGACCTTGTTCTGACTTATGGTATTGAAATTGAGCAACTATTAGTCGAACCGCATAATCCTGCTTTATCCCACCATTTCTTAGTAACTTTTGAACTACTGTTACGAGACTACAAAGCATTAGTCAAAAGCTCTTGCAGCAGAAACCTATCTGTTAGTGCTATAGCCACATTTAAGGAAGAGATTCCACCAATACTTAACTCGATAGCATGTCTGCATGTAAGGGAGGAAACTTATACAAAATGTACACCACCCCAAATTGATCATGTTGTTGATAGTGCTACAGATGCGCTGCGAATAAAATTAGACTCTGTTGCTCCTTTGAAAAAGAAGAAAATAAAACAACATAGATTAGCTCCATGGCATAATGCCGAAACCCGCAAAATAAAGCAAAAGTCGAGACAACTTGAAAGGATATGGCGTTCCACTAAACTTGAAGAATCTCGTTTAATTTGGCATATTACTCTCAATGAATATAAGAAAGCACTGCGTAAAGCGAGAGCAGCCTACTACTCTTCATTAATAGATGAGAATAAGAATAATGCAAGATTTCTTTTCAGCACTGTAGCCAGGCTGACAGAAAGCCACAGCTCGATTGAGCCTTCTATTCCCATAGCACTCAGTAGTAATGATTTTATGTGCTTTTTTAACGATAAAATTGTTACTCTTAGAAACAAAATTAATGACCTCTTGCCTTTGACCAGTATAGTGTTATCAACAGCTCCCGGAAACGTAAGTTCTAATATTACACTAGATAGTAAACTAGAATGCTTTTCAGCCATAAACCTTGAACAATTAAATTCAATGATTCTCTCTTCTAAACCATCAACGTGCATGTTAGACCCAATTCCAACTAAGCTGTTGAAGGAAGTTTTTCCATTAATTAGCACTTATTTATTAAATATTATGAATATGTCTTTATTATCAGGCTATGTTCCACAATCATTCAAAGTAGCAGTGTTAAAACCACTTCTTAAAAAGCACAACCTCGATCCAGAGGTTTTAGCCAATTATAGACCTATTTCCAATCTTCCGTTCCTCTCAAAAATTCTTGAGAAAGCGGTCGCAAAACAGTTGTGTGATTACTTAAAAAACAATGATTTATTTAAAGCTTTTCAGTCTGGCTTTAGAACACATCATGGCACAGAGACAGCTCTGGTTAAAGTCACAAATGACATTATAATAGCCTCTGACAAGGGACGTGTCTCTATTCTTGTTTTGCTCGATCTCAGTGCTGCATTTGATACTATCGACCATGATATCTTATTGCAAAGACTAGAGCACTTAGTTGGCATACAGGGAACTGCTTTAGACTTGTTTAGGTCCTATCTATCTGAACGCTCTCAGTTTGTACGTGTCAATGATGAATCTTCCACGCAAACCAAAGTTAGCCATGGAGTGCCACAGGGCTCAGTGCTCGGACCTATTTTGTTCACATTATATATGCTTCCGTTAGGCAATATTATAAGGAATCATTCTGTAAACTTTCATTGTTATGCGGATGATACTCAACTATATTTATCAATCAAGCCTGATGAAATTAATCATCTAAATAAAATTCAAGACTGCCTCAAGGACTTAACAACGTGGATGACCTTAAACTTTTTGATGTTAAACACGACCAAAACTGAAGTTATTGTACTTGGCCCGAAGAATCTACGAAACAAATTATCTAAGGATATACTAACTATGGATGGCATTAATTTGGCCTCCAGTGAGACTGTAAGGAATCTTGGTGTTATATTTGATCAGGATTTATCCTTTAACGCCCACATAAAATCAATTTCAAGGACCGCCTACTTCCATCTACGTAACATTGCAAAAATCAGGCATATCTTGCCTCAAAACGATGCAGAGAAACTAGTCCATGCATTTGTTACTTCAAGGCTGGATTATTGTAACTCTTTATTATCAGGGTGTACCAAGAAGTCAGTCAAGTCGCTTCAGCTGATTCAAAATGCTGCGGCTCGTGTACTAACCAGAGTTAGGAAAAGGGACCACATTACTCCTGTTCTGGCTGCCTTACACTGGCTCCCTATAGAACACAGGATAGAATTTAAAATGATTCTTCTCGCCTACAAAGCCCTTAATGGGCAGGCGCCATCTTACCTTAAAGAACTCATTATACCCTACTGTCCTACTAGGGCATTGCGTTCCAAGAATGCAGGGTTGTTGGTTGTTCCTAGAGTCTCTAAAAGTACAATGGGAGCCAGAGCTTTTTCTTATCAAGCTCCACATTTGTGGAATCAGCTTCCAGTTTGTGTTCGGGCAGCAGACACCCTATCCGTTTTTAAGAGTGCGCTTAAGACCTTCCTTTTTGATAAAGCTTATAGTTAGGGCTGATTAGATTCAGCCCCTAGTTTTGCTGATGTAGGCTTAGTTTGTCGGGGGACATCTTACTTCTTCCTTCTCTCTGTCTATACCTGTGTACTCTCATGTTCCGATTAACCCAGCTTCCCCAAATGTCTTTCTTTTTGGTGTCTATATACGCCGGGATCCGGAGTCATGGATGATCCTGCGCTCCTCTGTCCTGGATCTTGAGTCGTGGCTGTGTTCCTGGATCATAGGTCCTGGATGGATATCCTCGTGGATTCATCTTCCTATTATACACACATGCATTTCCAAACATTTGGACTACCTATGTTGCAAATGTATTATCTTTTCAATTTACACACGGCATCTATTGCACGTCTGTCCGTCCTGGGAGAGGGATCCCTCCTCTGTTGCTCTCCCTGAGGTTTCTCCCATTTTTCCCTTTAAACTGTGGGTTTTCTTCGGAAGTTTTTCCTTGTACGATGTGAGGGTCTAAGGACAGAGGGTGTCGTATTGTCATACTGATATTTTGTACAAACTGTAAAGTCCACTGAGACAAATGTAACATTTGTGATATTGGGCTATATAAATAAACATTGATTGATGATTGATTGATATGTATAATATCAGTTAAAATAAGTGCTTCAACAAAGTTAACATTGCAGGAAAGCAATATATTAGACGTTAAGTACTTTGTCAGGCTTAATATTTATCTGTAGATAGATACCCCCAAAGCTTTTTTCTTATTTAAAAGAAGACCTTAATCTAAAGTATTATTTAAATAAAGGTTCATTCGTTTTTCTGTTTTGCACCTCCTCCTATTAATATCTTTGTACATCCTGCACTTAACTGTTTTATTGTAGAGATCACTTATAGTATCTTCTTGATTTTTTATATTCTATATTTCTATCATTGACCTTCTACTTTCCTCCGATGAAAGTATGTACTCTAAATATTTCTTTCATCAAATATAACACATAAAAACAATAATTCAATAACGTGCTTTAACCACTAGGCCAGGGGTCGGCAACCCGCAGCCCTCGAGCCGCATGCTCTGGCTCCCTTGAGCTTAGACAAAAATAAGAAGGAGATAAAATAAAAGTATTTGTAGGACTATTTATATTTTCTTGCACGGTTGAAAATGTTTCGTATCTTGTATTTTGAGGTGATACTGTGACACATAAATAAAAAACAAAACGGTTTTAATTAGGTCAACTAAAATATGCGTCACATCCTGCTACGGTCCCGCGCTAGCGCCTTTTCTTGCAGGCGAATAAACTGACCCCCGGTGTCAGTACCATGGCTGCAGTCGAATAGTCCAAAAATCAGCTCCTAAATTCTAACCCTATCATCTATTCCTTGACCTTGATTTATTATAAACGTTAGTCCTCGTCACCCTCTCCCTCCGGTCCACATTAATACAAATGATCCCAATACGTATGATTGTATGAACTATGGATCTTAAAATCAATACAAATGTATTTATTATAAACGTTAGTCCTTAACATCTATCACTGTGTTTATCACCATTCAAACATCTTTTAAAAGTTGAACAAACCCCACACAGCTCAGTAAAGACTGTGAGATGTTGACTTTATTTGATCATTTCAGTAAAAACTAATGTTCATATTTCTCTTTTTGATTATAATACTGATGAACGTAGCACTTGGCAACTTACCACTACGTTTAAAATGCACTGTAACTTTCATGATATAATTTCTCTGTCATAATCGGTTGTTTCCGTGAACGGCCGACTGTTGAGTGACGGCAAATGCTGCGGCTGCAAGGCATTGTGGGGCAGCATTAAGTTGGGTTTATAGTGAACCAGGTTAATACAGCTGTGTGTGTAGATACAGGGAACATGTGCTCCTCTGGGTGATGAATCCAGACAGGAGGCTCTCTGGTTTTATGATCATGTGAACTGTAAGCTATCTTCCTGATCACAAGGGTATATATTATATAGACCTTTTTTTAAAGATCAAACTAGAAAGTGCCCACTTGTTGTACCTTTGGTGAGAATCAGCCCCTCTGAAGCAAAGTGCTATAAAGGATGTGTTCCTCTCCACAGAGGGAAGAGGAAGAGTGGTGTTCCTGTGGAGGAGCAGCTGTCCAGCTGTGCTCTGTGTCAGGACGTCCTGAAGGATCCAGTCTCTACCAGCTGTGGACACTGGTTCTGCAGACAGTGCATCACCTCATACTGGGAGCAGAGACCTCCATCAGGAGACCCCTCCTGTCCCCAGTGTGGAGAAAGACCCAGAACCAGAGCTGGCCTGCAGACAGCCAGTCAGACCAGCTCTGTACGAGGTAAGAGGCCGAACTCATGCAGCGTCTTATTCCTCTTCCTGGTTCATTTGTTTTTTTATTAGGTATTCTGTTGAAGAACAAAGACATTACAATGTTTATAAAACATTTAAACTCAGTCTGTTTTTATTAGTTTTATTGTTATATTCTCAAAAGCATTTTCTGATTCTCTCCTGTTTCCTTCTCTTCCAGCAGAACGTGGTCTGCAGCAGGTTTTAGATGAACATAGGCTCAGTCTGAGGAGGAGATGTGAACGTGTGACTGAAGGAACTGATCAAAGTGAAACCCTCCTCAACAGCATCTTCACTGAGCTCTACATCACACAAGGCCAGAGTGAAGAGGTTAATACCCAACATGAGGTGAGGCAGCTGGAGACATCTTCCAAGAAAGAGACCCTCCATGACACTCCAATCAAGTGCCAGGACATCTTTAGAGCCTTACCTGACCAACAGACTCTCATCAGAGCGGTCCTGACCAACGGAGTCGCTGGAGTTGGAAAAACCTTCTCAGTGCAGAAGTTCACTCTGGACTGGGCCGAGGGTTTGGGAAACCAAGATGTCAGTCTGGTGATCCCGCTCTCCTTCAGGGAGCTGAACCTGATCAAAGCTGAGCAGTACAGTCTTCTCAGGCTGCTCCATGTTTTCCATCCAACCTTACAGAAGGTCACAGCAGAGCAGCTGGCTGTCTGCAAAGTGCTGCTCATCTTTGACGGCCTGGATGAAAGCAGACTTTCTCTGGACTTCAGAAACAGTGAGGTTGTGTCTGATGTCTCACAGCAGTCCTCAGTCAACGTGCTGCTGACAAACCTCATCAGGGGGAAGCTGCTTCCCTCGGCTCTCGTCTGGATAACTTCCAGACCTGCAGCGGCCAATCAGATCCCTCCTGAGTGCGTGGACAGGGTAACAGAAGTACGAGGCTTCACTGACGCCCAGAAGGAGGAGTACTTCAGGAGGAGATCGAGTGATGAAGACCTGTCCAGCAGAATCATCTCTCACATCAAGAGCTCCAGGAGCCTCCACATCATGTGCATGATCCCAGTCTTCTGCTGGATCACTGCTGCAGTTCTGGACCACATGTTGACTACAGACCAGAGAGGAGAGCTGCCCCAGACCCTCACTGACATGTACTCACACTTCCTGCTGGTCCAGACCAAGAGGAAGAAGCAGAAGTATGAAGCGGGACATGAGACGAGTCCACAGCAGCTGACGGAGGCTGACAGGGAGCTTCTTCTGAAGCTGGGGAGGCTGGCGTTTGAACAGCTAGAGAAAGGAGACATCATGTTCTACCAAGAAGACCTGCAGCGCTGTGGTCTTGATGTCACAGAGGCCTTGGTGCACTCAGGAGTTTGTACAGAGATCTTCAAAAGAGAGAGTGTGATCTTTGAGAAAACAGTCTACTGCTTTGTTCATCTGAGCATTCAGGAGTTTCTGGCTGCAGTCTACATGTTCCACTGTTACACCAACAGAGACACAGCGGTACTGAAGGACTTCCTGCAGGGAGACTATAGCAACAGCAGTGATCATGATTACCCATCCCTGGATGTCTTCCTAAAGGGAGCCATGGCGAAATCCCTCAGAAGTGAAAATGGCCACCTGGACCTGTTTGTCCGCTTTCTCCACGGCCTCTCTCTGGAGTCCAACCAGAGACTGTTAGGAGGCCTGCTGTGTCGCACAGACAACAGACCAGGAATCATCCAGAGACTCTTCAGAGGCCTGCTGGGTCGCACAGACAACATACTAACATTCATTCATAGACTGTTAGGAGGCCTGCTGGGTCGCACAGACAACAGACCAGAAACCATCCAGAGAGCCGTCAGCAACCTGAAGGAGATGAACAGTGGTGACATCTCTCCTGACAGGAGCATCAACATCTTCCACTGTCTGACAGAGATGAAGGACCTCTCAGTACATCAGGAGATCACAGAGTTCCTGAAGTCAGAGAACAGATCAGAGAAGGAACTCTCTGTGATCCACTGCTCTGCTCTGGCCTACATGCTGCAGATGTCAGAGGAGGTTCTGGATGAGTTGGACCTGAACAAGTACAAAACATCAGATGAGGGGAAACAGAGACTGATTCCAGCTGTGAGGAACTGCAGGAAGGCCAAGTAAGTCCAGATGTGATTCACTTTATAAACTAATGTGGATCAGGAGTTTAATTATTCAAATAAACACTATAACATTTCTGCTGTTTAAATACTGAGAGCAAAATAAACCAACACTGTTCTTCTATTTATTTATAATAATAGTTAAACTGAAGCGTTTCTCTCTTCATGTTGAGTGATGGAGGCGACATGTCAAACACATGAAGGACTTTAGAGGTTTCTCAGCATGTGATCAAACCACACAGCAGGACTTACAGTTATCAGTTATTATTACTTTCTAGTTTCTTTATCATTAAACACACACGTTTTTATCACAATGTTTTAGAGTTTAAAATAAGATCTATATCATATCCCACCAATACCAGAGTTATGTCTTAATACTCATACAGTGAGAACATCTGATGGTATTCAGTTTAGAATATTGAAACTTTATTGGTTTGTTAACTGTGTTTGTGCGCAATACATTTCCAGATGCTCAGAGAAGACAAAACATCCATCATTCACATCTAAATATTAATCAACATTTAAATATGTACATCTCTAATATTGTCAAGTGATTTATTTAATTTCTGTTTCCTTGGTAACAGTCAGTGACAGCAGGAGCACAGACCTGTGATCAGATCACACTGACAGCACATTACACTCTATCATATATTATTATATATAAAATGGACTAACAGAAAATCTCAATCAGAACATGTCAAATATGTTTTTCATCAAATGCTTGAGGTCATTATGTTTCCTCTTTTTTAACACATGTTGTAATATATGTGTTATTATAGACTCACTAGCTGTGGACTCTCAGAGGCTCACTGTGAAGTCGTGGCCTCAGCTCTGAAGTCTGACCCCTCCCATCTGAGACATCTGGACCTGAGTGTCAACGATCTGCAGGATTCAGGAGTGGAGCTGCTGAGTTCTGGACTGAAGAGTCCAAACTGCAGACTGGAGGCTCTCAGGTCAGTTCACTGACTGAACTTCATCTGTTTGTGTTTATCATTTTCTGAATTTGAAAAAAATACTGTGAAGCTGACAATTGAGCGGCCCGACCAAGGAAGGAGACAGAGGCAGAACGTCCAAAATACAAGCCGGTGTGGGCATTTATTACCTCATAAACATGTGACACAAAGATTCACAGCCTCAATCCTGCCGAACATGTGCACACCGTCACCAACCACAGGGATCTCACACACACTCCCAGCCTCAAAACAGACAGGGCAACAGACCCTAAATACACACTAATCAGCAATTAGACACAGGTGGGGGGGGGGAGGAGGCAACACAGGGCACCAGGTGCACACAATCAACAGCCACAGACAAGGAAGGGGAACACTTTTAACATGAAACCAGCAAACAGAGACAGACAAACTAAAACACATACAGACACACACACTACCTACATTTCGCCACCAACAAAGCTACACAATCCGTGACGGAGGCCGAGATCTATGGCCCCAGAGATCACCTCCGTTACAAATACATTACAATGATTTTTCCATTTTTGCTAAAGACTGAATATTGATCAGAATAACAAAGAGAAGGTGAATGTGTGAGGGAGAGTGTTTGAGCTTCCACTGACTCACTCTGTGCTCCATGAGTCAGTGGAGATGCTGTTAGTACTGATGAGCTGTGAGGGAGATGAAGGAGTTGATCAACATCTGATCAAAGTTAAAGTTCCAGATCATCAGTGGATTGTTTCTACATCATCTCTGACGTTAAAGGTCTCCTATCATGCAAAAGTCACTTTGTGATGTCTTCTCTACATCACCATGTGTCCCCGGTGTCAGGAGACTCACAAAGTGTCAGGAAACAAACCCCTCTCTCTTTCCTCCGTACCCACATCTCTAAAAACGGGGGAACAACGGAGCTGATCCAGATTTGCTGCGTCATGAGAAACCAATCAGAAACGTTGCTGTCAGAAACAATGAGACGTGTTCTGGAAGTAATATGGTCTGTGTTTACATTAGCATGCTAACACTCAGAGCTAACCTGTGCTGGAGAGATCATGTGTGTGAAGAAGCAGGAAGTAAAAAGGAACTCACCTCGTGGTAAACCTGAGAGAGAGAAAGAGTTTGAGCTCCATCCTGTTTCAGAGAGAATCCTTGATGTGGTTTGGAACATGATATGGAGTTTCATCACGGCAGCATTTAGCTGAGTTTCTGCTGGTAGAATTCTGATCAGGCATTAGCTCCCCCTCCTTTCTTTTTTGTTCAAGCTAAGGACCCGAACCTGCTCTCCTCTAACAGCTGGAACAGAGGGATATGAGGGATTTCTAAAATGCATGATCTGTTTGGTATTTTGAGCAAAACACATCATAGACATGTTTTTATATATTTGTATATATCTGAGACCCATAATATATGCGTAGAGATAGCCTGATAGGAGACCTTTGAAACGCTGTTTAACTCTGAACAGATTATTAAACCTGGAGTTATTTCAAACAGGAACATTGTTTTCTAAAGTTACATCATGTTCTCTTTATTCAGTCTGATGGGGCTGCAGTTTGTCAGAGATCAGCTGTTCTGCTCTGATCTCAGCTCTGAAGTCCAACCTCCATCTGAGAGATCTGGACCTGAGTGACAACGCTCTGAAGGATTCAGGAGTGGAGCTGCTGAGAGATCTTCTGGAGAGTCCAGACTGCAGACTGGAGACTCTCAGGTCAGTTCACTGACTCTCTGTTACTGCTGGAGATCTCATGTTTCATTAGTTATTCAACCTGATTCTTCTACGTAATTAACTTACATCCATTCAGTTGTAAATGTTCTTGTATTCATACTTTCATTTGTAACTAAAGTAAGAACTGCAGAGATACATGCTGACTGATTCTTAAAGGAACTGTGATAGATGTTAGTTGTTAAAAGTAAATCTATGTTTTTAATATTTAGTAAACGATAACGTCTGAATAAAGTTCATCTGAAGTAATATTAGTTTTACAGGATAAAGTGGACTTTCTGAAGAAGACATATGTTTTTGTTCCCATTCATTTCAATGTTGAGTAACATCTGATTATAAACTGATTTGTATCCTCATCATGTTTTCTTTATTCAGTCTGAGGCACTGCAGTTTGTCAGAGATCAGCTGTTCTGCTCTGGCCTCAGCTCTGAAGTCCAACATCCATCTGAGAGATCTGGACCTGAGTTACAACGATCTGCAGGATTCAGAGAAGCTGCTGAGAGATCTTCTGGAGAGTCCAGACTGCAGACTGGAGACCCTCAGGTCAGTGAGGGGTCTCTGCTGGTTCAGCAGTATTGTATGAAACTCAGGGAGGTGTTTCTCTCACTGGGGAAACAGATCAGTGATGTTACCCACTGACTGCAGGCTCTTCCATTCTTCCATCAACTACAGAAGGCCAGCTGAACATGCAAAGCCACACTTTAGTATCAACTCTCTAACAGACATATGGGGTTTTACAGAAGAGCGGGAAAGGTAGTCTGTTCTCATGGGATGTTTTTAGTTTCTAGACCAGGGGTGTCCAAACTGCGGCCCGGGGGCCAAATGCGGCCCTCAGCAAATTTTGAAAATATAATGAAATACGGCCCACACATGAAACTTCAGCTTGTCTTGTCTTGTACTTCTTAAATATATATGTACACATATATTACACAGTAGTATTCATGTGTTAATGAGCCCACCTTTAAAATACATGCAGTCAATTCAAGCTGAAAACATTTCCTAACAAATCTAACTTGATAAGAAAAAAGCCCAATAACTTATTGTTATAACAAGCGTGAAATAAACCTTCATACTTCCTGTAATTATAATCAATGCTGAAGCTCCTGCTTTAAGGAATGAGCTGCTGACAGAATAAAGTAAACCCTCTGGAGAGCTGAGAGCTCTTTGTTTCTTAAAGCATCTTCAAGTAACAAGCATCCTTTACCTTCATGTGAGTTTCCTGACTTATAACTGAACTCATGAGACAACATTCCTCTAGAGAGCGGCCCAGAGCTTTATATATTTCTCTGTATGTGGCCCTCTGTGAAAAAAGTGTGGACCCCCCTGTTCTAGACCAATGACTGGTTACTTCCTGTCATGCAGCTGAGAGCTGTGGCAGTCGTAGTGTTTGCAGAGGAGATATGATGGGATGTAAAGCATGAGGTCAGGACTCTGAAGCTGACTCAAAGAACAAACACTTATTTTAAACTGGATCTCAAACTGTTGGATTGTGTTCGTCTCTACAGGATCAGAGGATATGAGCTGTTCAGAGCCACGATCCAGAAGACCTGTGAGTACTGAAACCATATCCTCCATTCATCCAGATATGAAACTCTTTAATGGAGCGTGACCTCAGAGGAAAACAACACTCTTCTTTCTCTCTTCATCATTTTAGCTGTTTCTCTTTGTTTCATCATCATCATTATTCTCTCTCTCTCTCCTCTCAGGTGACAGGAAGTGAAGACACACAGAAAGGTGAGAGGTCGTACCGTGTGAAGTTTATTTATTGAGGTTTCAACACGTGCTTCTGGTGTTCCAGACAAATCTGCAAGCTCAGGTTTGATTTGTTCTCAGTTTCTTCATCACGGGGCGAGTTTGAGACGTGAAGAGGAGCGCGGAGGCATTTTGGAAAATAAAGAAGAAGGCTGCAGCTGATGAGAGACTTCCTGTTAGCTCTCCTCAATATGAAATGAACAAAAACAATCCATTGTACTTAAAGCTTTTCTTGAGAAGAAAGATGTGTTGCACATACTCCTGCTGCTACCTACCACCACCTCCCACCCATCCCGGCACCAGAGAGGAGACTCCATTGACCCCAGATACCCCAACTCACTCTTCTTCAGGTTAGCTCCGAGCCCCGCCTTCACCTGCCCCAACATCTCACTTTGAACGATGTAGTCATCCGGATATCTGCATACTGAGAGTGGGACGCAGGACCCGGTCAATGAGCTGCTGGAAGGGGGTCCACTGGACTGGAGGGGCGCTTGGATCTGGTGATGCCTTGCTCTTCCTGAAAGGGGAGGACACCTATCTGCCATAGTTCTTCCACCTGACGACTGAGTTCGGCATCGGGGGTTCCAGTTGGGGTGAAGAGACTCTGGGGGGCATCCGATGGCTCCTGAATAGGGGGGGCCCTTGGAGTGTCCAACCTAATGATAAGAATAATAATGATGCATTTAATTTGTAAAGCACCTTTCAGTGCTAAAAGTAATCTCAAAGTGCTACAAGGGGCATAATATACTTATTCTTTAAAGAAACACAAGTTTAATAAAAGGCTTTAAAAAAAGAACGTATTTTAGGCCCTTCTTAAAGGAGTCAGTGGTCTGTGGAGTCCTCAGTTTGTCTGGGAGGGAATTCCACAGGTGAACAGAAAGCCCCCCCATGGTGCGGAGTTTGGTCCTGGGGGGGGGGGGGGAAGTAGATGGTTGGTTGTAGAATGGAGGTTGGAGGTTTGTGAGGAGAGTAGTTCCTTGAGGTATGAAGGAGCGTTCCCGTGGATGCCCTGATGGGTGAGGAGTGAGATCTTGTATTTGAACCTAGCTGGAGGGCTATTGGTGCCCCCTGTGGACCCAAAGAGACTCTTTTGGTTGGGGTAATGAGGTGAAAGTTATCTGCACCTATTAGTAGGAGAGGCTGCACTTTGGGAAAGAGGGAAGGGGAAGGCCTTGTAGGTGGAGATAGTGTTCCTTAAGTTCATCCACAGGATAACTCTAGTCCACAAGTGAAAGTCTGTCGGAGGTGAATGTGTCTTTGAGGAGGAATGTTTTCTTGGGATTGAAAGAGGGTGATATCTCAAAGGTCACTGAGGCTCCATTTCAGAATAATATATATGATATGTTTTATAATGATTGATCATGAAAGTGTTCTCAAAGCTGGTGAAGGTGCAGCTAGTTTGAATGGCTTGGTATACTGCAGGGTAGCTGGTGAATTTACTCCAGGTGGAACTAAAGTCTGATACAACACTTGATTATATTTCACATCATTCATCCACATCTGTAAAGTAACTAAAGGTATTAAATACATGTAGTGGAGTAGAAGTACACCATGTACCTCTGAACTGTAGTGGAGTAGAAGTACACAGTTGCATAAAAAGAAAACTAAGCTTCATCTCTAAGCCCCATGGCCTTGGAAGAGCTGCTAAGGAAAAGGAAAGACATCTGGAGACTTTGGAGAGACAGCTAACGGACAAACTCAAGGAACTGAAAGACCCTCCCTTAAGCCCCTGTCACACTGTCCCGAAGTTGACACCCGATGGACACACGAATATGGAATTGTGAATTTTGCACGAAGATGGCCCCGAACCACACACGAAGGCAACATTTACATTAAATTTAAGACATACAACTGCAACAAAAGTAACAAAAACAATTATGTTACAGTACTATGATACTGTACTGATATCTTCAGACTTTGTTCTTTACTTTATCCGTCTTTATATGTAGAAGATATTAAGTTTTCTCCGTCATGTTGTTGTTTCCATAGCAACAACAACTTCCTGTCAATTCGCCTTCAAAATAATATATTATATCCTTTTCAGTTTCACAGAACACAAATTGGGTTATTTACATAATATATTTACATGATTTTGTTGTGCAATAAAAAACCCGATGGACACACGATAAAGGAAATGTTCAAATTCCGCTGTGATCGTAGCAACATCGGGCCATTCGTGAGGGCATCTTAAGCCATCGTATGACCGCCGGTGGAGTTTCTCAGGCTCCGGCAGCAACTTCGTGAGCGGTGGCAAAATCTTTGGCATGCCAAAAAATAGCCGAAGGACCTTGAGAAGGTTCATTTTCGTGTTGAATTTGTGTGTCAATTTTGCCCTTCGTAAGGCCATCGTGAGGGCATCTTGTTATCATCGGTGCCATCGGGCATTCGCCCCGATCAGAGTGAGGGCGAATGCCCGATGGCACCGATGATAACACGAAGATGACACGATTCGACAAGATGCCCTCACGAGTGCCTTACGAAGTTGCCGCTCACGAAGTTGCTGCCGGAGCCTGAGAAACTCCACCGGCGGTCATACGATGGCTTAAGATGCTCTCACGAATGGCGCGATGTTGTTACGATCAGAGCCGAATTTGAACATTTCCTTTATCGTGTGTCCATCGGGTGTCAATTTCGGGACAGTGTGACAGGGGCTTTATAGGCTGTATGCTTATTAGCCTGACCTTGAATGACTCAGTGCAGTGTTCTGTGCAGGTTTTCTGTTTGCTTTTTCAACTCAAGGAGCTCAAAGACTGATTGAAAGTTGATTTGATTTGCATAATCTCTGATTCAATGTGAAGGAGAATTCACCTTTGAGTTGATACAGTATATGTGTGCATATAATGCACCCTTTGGCCTAACCTGGGAGAGCCTTATGTTCACTGCCAACCTAAGGACCTCCAACATGTTAATAAAGAATGTATTGAAAAGTTATTTGGCTGATTGTTGTATATTGGCTCAGCCAGGTTATATGGGATGCCCAGTCTACTTACAGATGGGTCACTCATTTTGAAATATTACGCTTCGTTTTCTTTTTCTTTAATTTGTCATCCTCATGTAGAATGCTATCACGAAACACACATCTGGTTGTTCATAGCATAAAGAACATCTGATTTAATGTGAGGTAGGGAAATAATCATTTGAGGATAAGTATGTGTATATAAATATGTAATTTACAACAGCTGTAAGATGCTTGATAAGTTTGAAATGCACCTTGAATATGCTTGAAAAGTGCTTGAATTTGACCTTGGAAAAGGTGTAAGAACCCTGTAAAAAGTATTAAAAGTTGATAAATCAATTTATCGAAAATTATGGCTATTAAAAAGTAATAAACGGTTGTTTTCAATAAGTATATAAATGGTCCAAAGAGGTTGTATTCTACAGTCTGCCTGAATGTAATCATTGCGTAGGTGTGTAGTGTGATTCTGTGTAGTTTATTGATGGCATCCCGTTGGATTTGACGTCATCTGAACAGGACATCGCACGCTCACTGCTTGATAGCGCGAAGGTCCGTTTACGCCGGTTGTTATCAACATCGTTATGGGGAAATGCAAGTTTGCGTCCAAATGGTTGGAAGATAAGGAGGAAGGACAATCAATACTGACCAAAGTCAGGTTGGAAATGTTTTGAAATGTTGTATGTTTTTTTCCCAAAACTTTGTCCATTTATATTTTGTACCATATCTAAATTACACATATCTAGTAAAAGAACCGTACATTTTTTTCATCGTATTTTCAGACTGTATTGGAATATTCTTCCTCTAGCAAAAATGGTCACTACCGAAACATAGTACATACACTGTAGTAAACAAGTATTATATTAGCCTGTTAAGATTGTTTTACCTTCCCTTCTCTAAAAAGTATTTTAACAAATATTTCTTGAGGGTTTTCACAATTAAATTAATAAAAGTGAATTTTTAATCAAATCAAAAAAGTTTATACAAATCCTAAAAATGTTAATGCAAACTTTCTTTGTAAAATGCATAACACTGATCATATTGATTCCAGAGTTGATGATTGTTGAAATTGAACATACATTAAACCAGTGGTTCTCAAAGTGGGGGGCGCGCCCCCCTTGGGTGGCGCAGAGGTATGCCAGGGGGGGGGGGGGGGGGGGGGGCGCGAGAGACCAGGAGGAAAAATGGCTATAAAAAAAAAAAAAGATTAAAAAAAAAAAAATCATAAATTGAAAAATTATTGATTCGAAAATTATATGATGCAGTACTATTACGTCTGGGTCTGTGTGTTTCATTAAAGCTCGGCTCTGTGTGTGTGTGCGCGAGCGAGCGAAAGAGAGAGAGAACGCACCGGTACCGGAGATCGTTGTTGTTAGCTTCTGGTGCTAGCGAGCTACGCTAACGGATATAAGGAGTTTTTTCAACAACAAGGTGGAGGAGAGTCCTCTCCTGTCAGACTGAGAGGCTCAGTGAGCTAAAGGACTCTCTCAGTGTTATCTCAGTGGGTCTCAAACGTTTTGGTCACCATTAATGTAAACAATTATTTCCGAGGCACACGTTTATATGATCATTATAGTTATAAAAAATAAGAGAATAAATGAAAAACAGGTATGAAATACTATATGACAGTGAAACAAGAATAAAGTTTAAAAGGGGAATGATTTGTAAAATATCCATAAAGAAATAGTAAATCTGTTTACAGTTCTGTTTCAGATGGGTGTTGAGAGATGTATCCATAGATCTCTTCATGTTGCTCTCAAAGTGCACCAGATTGATGCTTTTAACTTCAATATTTAAAAATAAATCTTCCCGGGGGAGCTTGCCCCCGGACCCCCCCTATGTGAGGTCCACACACCACCTATAAAAATAGCACTTTACCCCTGCTTACACCTATATGCCTCGAGCCTTCATTGTAAATGTCACACTGTGTATTTGCGTGGGGAGTGTTGCAGGTAGAACATTCCTCTGTAGCGCCCGGGACATTAATGGGAAACCCTAAATGTTTGAGCACCCTCTATGAAACGTCAAGCTACCCCACAGCACCCCCAAAATAAATCTCTGGCGCCGCCACTGAGCCTGACTATTTGTGTTGGGGGGGCCCGACTTATTTTCTTCTCCAAAGGGGGGGCCTGACAGAAAAAGTTTGAGAACCATTGCATTAAACCAATCAGTATCATTTCATTTTAGTTGATAAGTCAATATACTTTATTTTTTACAAAACATCCAGTGTTTCGGTAGTGACCACAGTATTTTGTTCTCAAGGTTGTATCATATTCCCTCAACCTTATTGCTTAATCTTAACTCACAACATGCCTCATGTTGAAGTGTGAACGTTTGAAGCTACTGACCCAGAATCAGCACTTTAGTAACAGGCTGAAATAGAGGGGGATGAGGCTAGAATGCATAATCTGTTTGGTATTTTGAGAAAAACACTTCATAGACATGTTTTTTTATATATCTGAGACCTTTAATACATGCCTAACAATAGTATAATAAGAGACCTTTAAAGTAACACTGAATTTCAGACTTTAAAACACATTTATTTCAAAATGGTGGGATTTACCTGCTTACCATTCCATTTTAGTCACTACCGAAACGATCATGTCAATTACCATTTTGAAACGTGTATTACAATTAAATCACGGTTAAATATGTTCATTGTGTTGTAGTTGTAGCCCCCCCTTGCCAGCGATTCTCTCTGACCAATCAGCAGTCGAGAGTGGTTTAGCATATGCAGCCCGGTTGTTGGCCCGGTAAGAACCTCCATTTTGGAGGGCCAGAAAAAAGGTGAAAAAGTAGCCCTGAGCCGGAACTAGCCCTAGTGGAAAGCAGAAAGCTTAAACCGTGCTACGTGCTGCAGGAAAAGCCATAAATGACTTGAATGAATCAGAACGCCAGATTGACCTTGTTTTGATCTGTTTTTCTGCCTACAGAACGAGACGTTCCTGTGTCACCGGTTCACGCGCTTCGTCATGAAGTACAACCTGATGTCCAAGGACAACCTGATCGTGCCCATCCTGGAGGAGGAGGTGCAGAACACCTCGTCAGCGGGGGAGAGCGAGGCCTAAACACACTGCTGCCACAAAGGGAGACACATGTAACACACACATGACATGAGGAGACACATCCACACACCTTGCATACACAGTACACACATATATAATATATATATATACACACTACAGTGTCTACAATAAGGCTCCTTGTCTCGTAACACTGTCCATGTCCCTCCACCCTTGTCACCTGTGTCTATCTCAAAGGAAGTGAGGGGTAGCGGGAGCAGAGTTCAGCCATGCCTGCAGGACAAGTTGACGTTTTCTATCCTCCTCCCTCTCGCTCTGTGTGTTCAGATCCACTCTGGGGGTCTGCGTGCAGCCCCTGCTCTCACACTCCTCCTCCTGGGGAAACCCCTTTTACCTTTAATGTTCTTTAAGCAGCTGGATTTGCAAAAATGTAATCATGGTGACCTGTATTGTTGACAAAGGCACACGCTGACAGCCCCTCCCTCTGTATATAACCCCCCCCTCTCTCTTAATTCACTACCATCATGTTTTCTGATGGTGCTTCACTTTTTCGTGTCTGCTTCTGTTTCTCTGTTCGCTTATTGTGTTTCCTACCAGCCTGTTTTTCGGGGGGTCGTCCTCTGAAATGGATCAATAAAGTAGCCTGCTGACTTAAAGGGATAGATCAGATTGTGTGTGGGGTTGTCGCATATCCATAGTTCAGGTATGACCGACAGTAACTGCTCTCTAAAAGCCACCAAACTCCATCGTCAGAAACCAGTTATTTTTTACATCGCTGAACACAGAAGTTTCTCGCCTTCTGCTGCCTCAACTAGTACGGCTTTTTTTGGTGGTATTTTGTGACTTTAGTGTTTAAAGTAGTTAGTTTGGATTCACTGACGTCACACGATTTACACAAAATAACTAACTGATAGAGGCAGAAGTAGAACAGCAACGCCTTTTTGTTCTGCGATTTATAAAATCACTGCTTTTATCGATGGCGTCTGGCTTTGGCGAGAGCGTCACAAAAATGCTTTGGGTCCTCGTTTTGACGGCAAGGTTAAGCAGAGGAAAATATCGTCATCTACTGTAGGTAATACACTTTTATACAACCCTACTTTAAAACACAAACATCCCTTTTTAATGATGCCAGTGAAGCACGAAACGTAGGTGTGTGTGGCTTGTGTGGTAGTGAACAAAGACAAACGTAACCTTAGTCGCCCCCATTTTAATACCGTGTGAAATGTGTCGGATATTCCCCTTTCCTCGACAGGGTTGGGTCTGAGGGTCACATGGGACTGAGCTGCTGTAAGCCGGTCTTTCCTAACGCATTAAGACGAGTAACATACAAGGAAAGGAGGAAATATCAGATACATTTACGTGTCGGAGCACAACCCCCCCCCCTTTCTTTTACCCTCCCCCTCATTAAGTTATTTTGTGGGAGGAGTCTTGTCAATCCAAACCCACTTTTTTTTAATGGACTAAAATAATTTTGTTTCTGTCGACATTTTCATGATGTCTGTTAATAAAAAAGAGCTATTAGTCAGGTGTTTGTGTGGCTGTGTTATCATTCATGGGGCTTTCCAGTGATGGGTCTGAACCAAATGTGTGATTTCCAATAACTGCGGCGTTAAGACCAAAAGTAAAACAAATAATACTGGAAAAATAGGAATAAGCATTTCCAAAAATGACATGTTTTTGATTTGTATTCTGCTTCAATCCATATTTGTTAGGCTATTTTAATTTGTGGTTAAGACGTGTCTCTGGCCGCTGAAAGGGATCCACTGAAGATTTATATTGAAGTTGTTTTAACAGGGTGTCCGCGGGGTCTTAAAAACAGGGTTCGTACGGGTACATTTCATGTGGTGTTTTCAAGGTTTGAAAAGTGCTTGGATTTTGGAGAAAGTGCTTGAAAATCTACTTGCTTTACTTTTATAATAAATTGATGTCTGACTGAATAGTTCACTTTTTTTGATTAAAAAAAAGAGAAAGAAGTCGGAGCGAGCTTAATTACTTTTCATAAAAAGACAGCTCCACTCCTTTTATACATATGTTGATATTTGAAAACTTTTTTTCAGTTTTAGATTTTCCGTTTTCAGATTCCAAACAATTATCTTTTTAGTTTCAAATCTTGTTTTTTCAGGTTTCACCGTTTTTTTTCGCTTTCAGACTTCTGGCCCTGATGTTGCTTGGGGGGGGGGGGGGCTTACCAAAGAGTAGTTTAGCATCCTGAGTGACTTCCCTCCAGGCCCAGTTCTACGGGGGTGCATAAGGGTGCATTGCACCCTCAGTTGAGTCGTTATGCACCCTCATTTGAAAAGTGAAAAGTGAAAAATATTACATATATAATAATAATAATAGTAGTGATAATAATAATAAGAATAATTTAGTTGAAATAAAATAAATGGTAATTGTGGTTAAATAACATTGTCTGCTGCATTTATTTGGTCAATTTAAACGGTAAGTAACGTTATTATGTGAGGTGTGCGTGACCTGTGCCGCTGCGCGTTCGTCATCTGCAAGGTGCTTACACAGCAGTCAATGATGGACATCAGAAAATGGTTAAAACAACCAGCCCTTATCGCCAGCAGTAACACTGCATCTACTGCAGGTAACAACAGTTCAGATCATGGGGACATTATGTTACGTTTGTTCTCACTGTCGTGGACACTAACGTCCTCCTGCCCGACTTGCCGGCTTTGCCCGCCTCGCCCACGGAGGGAGAGCAGCTGCAGCCGTCTTCGTTGCCCCAAACACCGCCACCCCTCGGCGCCCCACAAGTCCCAGAGGACCTCGGCAAAACAGCCTGCCCAGGTATATTTAAAAAAGTACCCAACTTGCGTGTACAGTGGGGTAAGGCGCTCATTTTGCTGCTCATGGTTTCAAAACAGAGATTGGCTGGAATATTCATGTAAAAAGATGCCTCTTCTGCTATGCATGTAGACATTTCGGTTCAAGTAAGTCAGATGCCTTCACTACAACGGGCTACAACAACTGGCGCCATGCTCTTGTACGTGATAAGGGACTGGGAAGGCATGAATCAAGCAAAGAGCACATCCATAGATCTCTTAATGTTGCTCTCAAAGTGCACCAGATTGATGCTTTTAACTTCAATATTTAAAAAAAAAATCTTCCCGGGGGAGCATGCCCCCGGACCCCCTTAGAGGAGGTGAGGACCCCCCTAGAGGGTGTTAGGTCCACTCTCCACTTATAAAAATAGCACTGCACCCTCTCTAATCTCAGATGCACCCTGAGTCATTTTGTTCTGGAACCGGGCCTGCTTCCCTCCCTCTGTCATGTTGCCTTCATGGATGTAAGGTAGCGCGAGAAATATAACTCAACACTTTCTATACACGACAACACTCCCGTGATTGGTGGGAAACCAAACTGATACCAGCGTCAAAGTTCCGTTAAGCGAGCTGTTGAGCATCGCAGTTCAGAATCAGATCAGAATCAGAAAACCTTTATTAGTCCCACAGAGGGGACATGTACGTTGTTACAGCAGAAAAGAGCCACTGACAGCTTAATGTTACATAATGTTACATGCAAAAAGTATTTAAAGTAAAAAAAAGTTATATGATAAAAAAATATATTAAAATAAAAAGTTATACAATTTACAAAATACACATCCTGTAACAGTTCTGAGGATTTAGCAGCCAGGTATATATTGCAGTTGTATAAAGGGTTGGGTGAAGTGTTTTGCCCAAAATACCAAAAATACCTCATCTGCACTTTTCCCCATAACAATGAATTATAATCAATACTTTTAGATGTAAATGGTTTATTGTGTCATTGGGTCTCTGAAGCAATCAAACTTTGACCACACTGTTATCAGACTGTTATCAGAGTTTTCTCAGACTTTTAGCACTCTTTCCCCGCAAAACGACTTTAAACCATCAGTGTCACTATTGCGGGGATGTAGGAATGTACCTGTGTCTGGTGCGGAGCCTCCCTGCACTTTAAATCAATTGATTTGCCTTTACTTATCGTATTTCCTACTGTTAATGAACTGTGCTCATGTCGGGTGATGCGCTCCCTGGAGCCCTCCTGTGGGGAGACTTGGAACTGCATTTAAATCACTTTGTGCTTTTTAAGCCATTTAAAATAGTTTTTCTCTCTTTTAAAATACTTTCTGCCCTAGAAATGATTTTTAATCAGTATTACCATTATTTAGGGGCTTCATGAACACGAATTGGAGCATCCCTGCACACTTCCCTCTTATTTAAAACCATTTTCAGTGAGGTGCTGCAGCGTGATTCTCTCCTTTTTCCTCTGCCCCTATTTAAAACACTTGCTAGATAAAATCTCTATTTCAGCCCTGATTTTGGCACATCTTATAAATTAGTTAAATGTAGCCTTGTGTTTTTATTTAAGTCGCTGTTCATTGTTTGTTATATAAAGCAGATTTAATGACTTCCTATGGAGGTTGATGAGTGGATGTTGTGTCCTTTTGATAACTTTGTTGAGCTTGTTTTTAGCTGCATGTCTTTTTCTATCTCACTGAACAAAGTCCCTGCGTGTGAAGTGCTTCAGCTGATAAGGCTGGTTATGAATCAGACGGAGGAGCTGCAGACAGGGCGGGAAGTTGAAAGTGAAAGTATGAAGTCAGACTTGGCAGACTGCCAGACGCCATTTTACAGCTCGACACGAGGAGAACAACAGGGTGAGTGTTAACACCACGATCTGCTTTTTAACACATTTATTATTTACTCTGTCAAACTGGATGTCAGAAAATAACTTATTGGTTAACAATCTTCGTCCTAGAGTCCATTGAGACTTCTGCAAGTGTTGTACACTTTTATTATTTCCTGTTTTATGATTCGTCAGAGTTACATTACATGTGAGAGCCCAGCGCAGACAAAATGGAGAACGGCCTGTCTGAAGTCTGACTGATATCATATATTTTAACTGTGTGTGTGTGTGTGTGTGTGTGTGTGTGTGTGTGTGTGTGTGTGTGTGTGTGTGTGTGTGTGTGTGTGTGTGTGTGTGTGTGGTTACTGGTGTATCTCTCAGACTGGAGAAGATGAGTGATTTAAAAGATGAGGAAGAGGACACATCTTCAGTCTCCAGCTGTCTGTCTCTGAAGAGTGACGGGTCTATGCATTGGCTTCCTCCAGGCTTCAGTAATGAACCTGGACCCTCAGACACAAAGTAAGAGTTTCTACTGTAACCTGACCTGAAGAGGATCCAGTTTTGATGTAATCTAATATATGTAACTGTTCTTTAATGAAAATCATGTGAGCAGTTTGTAAAGGAAACACGCAGCAGAGTAAGCTAACGTTATCTAAGGATATTTTAATATGCAATTATATTATCATTGTCTCTGTGTATAACATGGTTTTAAATAGCAACAATGTTGACAAATACTGATTTAAAAACTATATATATTGTCCAAAACATTATTTATCTACTTGGGCATATCTATGATATGTCTTTTTAAGATGTTTTATTAATAATAGTGATAACCTGGTGAGCTGGTTGTGTTTAGCATTAGCAGGTGAAACAGAGTTTTGTGAAATCACATGTAGAGTCAATGCAAAGACCCAGATCCATGCCTGGCAACACGAAGGAAGTGAAGATGTTAAATTCATGTCACCTGCGTATTCGTGCAGCGTGACACATTTCAACTTGAGTGTAAAGTTAGTGACGCTCTGTTACAAAAGCTGTCAGTGTTGAGATTGTGCTCCTGTGGTCTCTGACGGTCTGAGGGCAATCAGAGAGGAGAGCAGAGCTCTACAGCAGCTCATATTCATCCATCCATCCATCCATCTTCTCCCGCTTATCCGTGGTCGGGTCGCGGGGGTAGCAGTTCCAGCAGAGAGCCCCAAACTTTCTTTTCCCTGGCGACATCAACCAGCTCTGACTGGGGGATCCCAAGGCGCTCCCAGGCCAACGAAGAGATATAATCCCTCCACCTGGTCCTAGGTCTACCCCTTGGTCTCTCTTCCCAGCTGGACGTGCCTGGAACACCTCCCTAGGGAGGCGCCCAGGTGGCATCCTAACTAGGTGCCCGAACCACCTCAACTGGCTCCTTTCGACGCGAAGGAGGAGCGGCTCAACTCCGAGTCCCTCCCTGATGACCGAACTTCTCACCTTATCCCTAAGGGAGACACCAGCCACCCTGCGGAGAAAAACCCATCTCGGCCGCTTGTATCCGCAATCTCGTTCTTTC